AGATTACTTCCTTATCCCTCTAAATCGTTGTAAGTAGATTACTTCCTTATCCCTCAAAATCGTTGTAAATAGATTACTTCCTTATCCTTCTAAATCGTTATAAGTAGATTACTTCCTTATCCTTCTAAATCGTTGTAAGTAGATTACTTCCTTCTCCCTCCAAATCGTTGTAAGTAGATTACTTCCTTCTCCCTCCAAATCGTTGTTTGCCAGTTTATGATGATGACGTTTTTATATTTTAAACAACCATTTTATTAACAAGGTTGTTTAAAAAATACTTCGTTTTTATAATTTATATAATCATGTTTTATGTGACTATCTTTTAGGAGCCAGATAAACCAACATGGCAAACATTAATGGAGTAGAGGAAGCGGACCAATCCCTGAAGTGGAACATTGGACTCTTGAACGCTCAGTACAAGTACTTGACCGCCGAGACGTTTGGTTGTAAGGTCAATGCTAATGGAAGTGCTTTGAAGAAGAAGCAGATGTGGACCCTGGAGCCCTACGGAGGAGATGACGGCTCCGTGTGTCTCCGGAGCCATCTCGACAAATATATGGCTGTTGATCAGTTTGGGAATGTCACGTGTGACGTAGACGAGAAGGAACCCGCTTGCAAGTTCGCCATTGTCGTCGCAAACGACAGGAGTGGCCGGTGGACTCTAAAGAATGTTCTACGTGGGTATTTTCTGGGAGCCAGTACCGATAAGTTAGTGTGTTCGGCCAAGGTACCCGGACCACCCGAGATGTGGACAGTCCACTTAGCTGCTCGACCTCAGATTCTTCTCCGATCCCAAGGCCGCCGGCGCTACGCCCGTCTTTCCACCGACATGGACGAAATCCAAGTAGATGTTAATATCCCCTGGGGCGAGGATACGCTCTTCACTCTTGAATTCCACGACGGCAAATATGCGATCCACGCGTCGAACAGCCGGTACCTCCAGGCGGACGGCAAGCTGGTGGAGGACTGCAGACCCGAGTGTCTGTTTACTCTCGAGTTTCACAACGGTTACCTAGCAATGAAGGATTCTTACAACGCGTACGTGGCGCCCATCGGTAGTAAAGCTGTTCTCC